AGACAAAATGCCTATCGCTGCAAGGGCTTTAATATCAAATATGACTACTAACTCATAGCGAGTTCAATCCAAGGATTGATTATACACCAAAAAAGGGTAATAAGGTCAACATTTCAAGTTTAGAGTAACAAATATTATATTTGACTTATTTGGTGGGATAAATGGCGATTGGTAATATACAAACTGTTAAGGCTTATGGAATTTATTCTACTATCGAACACATGACATATATATGTTCGACCTTACAAGAGAGGTATATAGAACAAGTACATATGGCTGAAAACTTCGAAGGTGGCCAACCAAGGCCATATAATCCTTACTCCAACACTTATAATTCTAATTAAAGAGATCACCCCAACTTGAGGCACATGAACAATAGGCAAGGTGGGCAAAACTACTATAAACAAAGGCAACGAGGATACCAATCTAGACCACTTTCAATAATAACCCCCAACACATTCCGAAAATTCTCAAGAAAAAAATAACGAAATCTCTTCCTTTGAGCACTAAACAATTTCAACAAGAAACTAGATCAAGTATTCAAAATTTAAAAAGTCAAATATGTCAATTGGCGATCATTGTGAGTCATTTAGAGGCTTAAGATGAAGGAAACTTATTGTCTCAAATGGTGATAAATCCCAAGAAGAATATGAGTGCAATGACCTTGAGGAAAGGTACTCGGGTAGAATAACCAAGCAAGAAGATGTTTGAATTACCAAAAGAAAAAAAAGATGGAAGAAGAGAAGAAAAGCGTAACCATTGGCGAGATGACATCAAGCCACTAGGGTAAATTCTAACCCTTTGACTTTATTTTTAACGGATCATGTACCTTTTCCTAGCGAGGTTAGAAAAGCCTAAGAAAAAAGAGTTGAAGAAGAAAAAAAGAAGGAAATCTTTGAGATATTCGAGCAAGATAAAGGTGAACATACCTCTATTAGAGGCCATAAAGTAAGTTCCTTAATATGCCAAGTTCTTAAAGGATTTGTGCATCAATAAGAGGAAGTCTGAATATGAATAAAAATGTATGAATTGGAGAGAACATTTTTATAATTTTACAATAGAAAATCCCTTCAAAGTGCACGGATCTAGATATGTTAATTATACCATATCAAATCGATAGTAAGAAAATAGACAATGTTATGTTAGATTTAGATGTATCAATTAATGTGATGTCATACTCTATATATGTCGTATCGAATCTTAGGCTTTTAAAAAATTCAAATGTGATCATACAATTGGTCGATTGCATTGATGCATATCATAAATGGATATTAGAAGATGTTCTTACGTAGGTGAACCGGTTTGTGTTCCTAGCGAATTTTTTACTTCTTGAAGATGGGAGACAAATCTTCCTATAACCCCGCACCTCTCTTGTTAGGGAAACCATTTCTAAAGATTATAAGAATAAACATAAACGAGCTATGAGGGAGCTCTCACCATAGAGTTTAATGGTGAGGTGATTCAATTTAGTAACCTCAATCAAGATAATGCTAAGATATAAGAAAGCTTGAGATCGAGCTTGACAATGAAAGTCTTAAAAAAAACGAGTTATAAAATTGTATAGAGATAAAAAAAGAGAATTAACTGTATTATTTGTAAATTTGAATGGTCGTGTTTTTATATATTCCGATATATGGTCCGATCAATGGCAAACTCATTCCTTTATGGGTGTAACTTGTCATTGGATTGATAATGAATGGCACATGCAAAAACATCTTCTTGCATATAGAGTTTTTTATGATAAACATACCGCTCAAAATATATATAAGATACTAAAAAAGATTTTAGATGAATATGTTTTACCTTTAAAAATATTTTCAATTTCTTTTGATAATGCTAGTTCTAATGATGCTTCAATAGACTCTTTAAAAGAACTTTGTCAATCCCATCTTGGAGGTAAGTTTTTTCATATTAGATGTGTATGTCATGTTTTAAATTTATATGTGCAATCTGGTTTGGAATATCTTAAAGATATGTTTAGGCTAATTAAAGCTCTTGCTAAATATTTATGGGCGCATCCCCAAAAGATGAAATTATAGAGAAAGTTTTGCAAAGAAAGAAATAAAAAACCAAGACGATTTTCAAAAGATGTTCCAACTCGTTCGAATTCAACTTATGACTTACTTAGGTAGTCATTTGAATATCAAGATTTATTATGCTCATTTTTTTATAGAAAATATTGATTCTGTTTTTATTTGTCAAAATGATTTTGATATTTGCGAAGCACTTTTGGAACTTTTAAATGTTTTTAACAATGTAACATACACTTTTAGTGCCGTTTATCAACCAACTTCACATTTATTTATGATTGAAGCAATTAATATTGTTGAAGCTTTTAATCATGTAGAACAAGGTATGCCAAATTTACATGATGCCATTCAAATAATGAAACAAAAATGGTTAAGTTATTATGAAACAAGTCCACCTGTTTATCTTGTTGCTTTAGTCTTTGATCCTAGATTTAGAATGGAAGGTCTTTCTGCTATTTTGAATACTTACTATGAGTATTTACAATTATTTGATAGAAATATAGAATTAGAAACTACTTCTATTATAAATCGAGTTAGAAATTTATATATTGAAATGTCTTTAATCGTGGGTTATCAACATGCTAGTTCCTCTTTACCACTTATGCCACAATCATCATCAAGTAGCCAACGTGTTAGAGTCGGTTATCTTATGGCCATGGAAAGGACAAAAAGGCCAAGAGGATCATTAGGCTCCACTTCCGAGCTTGATATTTATCTAACAAGCTGTGTTTGAGTTTGGTGATAGCAATGCGAGTGTAGATTTTGAAATAATTGATTGGTGAAAAAGACATGCGAGCACCTTTCCGAGTCCTGTCCATAATAGCTAGACAAATACTTGTTGTGCCGGCTTTAACAACAGTCGTTGAAAGAGCATTTAGCTCTAGAGGTAATATTTTAGATGATAGGCGATCACAATTGGCTCTCGAGTCACTTGAAGCCCAAGTATGCGTGGATGATTGGATAAGAGCCGACAAGAGAACATAAGAACAAAAACAATATGATTTCAATGAAGAAAGTGTGGATTTAACACTCGACGGCCCAACGATAGAAACTTCGAAGTCGAACTTTCGGTCAAGAAAGCAACTAGGCGTAGCTATATAGAACATATGTGTGATTTGTAAAGGGGTAATTTGAAATGTAAAAGAGAACTATGTAAGCTTTGATTCTTCTAAACCTTAAGAGGATACGTAGGAAGCTTAATTTTTGTAGTATTTACAAAAATTAAGTTCAAGTCCTTCTTTATTTATTTCTTTTTTCCCTTTGATTTATTGTGCGAAATACATTACAATGTAAAAAATATTAAAATATTTATACATTATGCAAAAAAGAAGTTTTTTCGTTTTAATGTTAATGTTTGATTTATACTTGAGAAAAAATGTTTGATTTTTTTTTCATTTAATAAAAAAACCATTGAACCGTCGGTTCCAAATGGTTTGGAACCATCGATTTTACGATTCCAAACCGGAACTCGTAACCATCAATAGAAGGTTTGGTTCGGGTTCCACCTTTTGGTGGAACCTTAACCAGCGGTTCCTAAACCGAAGCTGGCGGTTCAGAGCCGTTACCATGTCTACTTGTAATAACATGACTAATAAACTTTTAATTAAGGATTTATTTGTCAAAAAAACATAATATAATATATAGATCAAATTAAAAATTTTAAGAAATTCTAGAGACAAAGTACATTAGCAAAACATTCATGCTAAATACAATAGGTGTCAACCAATTTGAAAAAGATGATAAAAATGAAAATATGTAAAAAAACTAAAAGAATTTTTTTAATACAAAACAAAAGATACATAGATGTACAAAAGCATTAACCTATTATTAGAGCGAAAAAAATAGTATCATCAATATAATACAAGAGTAAATTATAAATTTAATCTTTCATATTTTGAAAAATGAATTAATTAGTAATTTTTGTTTTAAAAAGTTAATATTTAATTTTCATCTTTATTTTGTTAAATCTATTAAATTAATATTACTACTTAAAATATCTTTTAAGATATATATTCATTAATAGAGATATATTTTAATACTTGATAAGAGAGAGATAATAGGGGTTAATAGAACGAGACATAAAAATTTGAAAAGAGAAATAAAGATTTTTTTTTTTTGGTGTTTTAGAAGAGAGAGAAAAATAAAAAAAGGTGGAGTAGAGAAATAATACATAAAAAAATAATTTAAAAAGTACTACAGTAAAAATACTTTATAACCACTTTAACAAAAAATTAACAAAAAAAGAAAAAATTACTGATATAATTAAAATATAAAGGTTAAACGATTAATTTTCAAAAGAAAGGAATTAATTTTTAATTTATTCTTATAATATAAAGATACAGAAAAGTATATATAAAAAAAAAAACCGGCCAAGACCAAGTTTTTTGAGAGATAGTGAAGGTTGTTGTTGCTAGTGCCATAGCGCAAGAAAAAGAAATAGAGAAGAAAAACCCTAACCCTAGAAAGAAGAAATGCTTCTTTTCTTCTACGGTGAGCAGTAAGGCCTGCTATTTTTCTTCTTGTCTCTCTGGATGAGCAAATGGAAATCATAATGTTCGCATTTTGTGACTATTTATTGCGAAATCAAACTCCTTAAACTTGTTCTAGTGTTTCATAAGCTTGACTTACTTTGCTGGATCTTTGTGCAAGAAGCTGAGAATTAAGGTTTTATTTTCGAGGGTTTAGGGTTTTTGTTAAGTTATGATCTTACTTTTATATTAGTATTGGGTTTTATTTATTTATTTATAATCTTAGTGCTTTTTTTGTCTGACAAAGAGATTTACCGTCCTGAATTCTGAAGTGCCCTATGTGTATTAACAAAAATAGCTTCTGGGTATTATATAGTTCCTCAGATTGTTGAGTATTTAGGGCTTTCAGTGCGGAGCTTGCATTGGCTATATTAGGAAATTTGGGTGCCTTTTGTTATAATATTCAGTCGTTGCACTGGAGCGTTTAGGGGTACCGGGGACTATGTCTTCCTTAAGTAGGGAACTCGTGTTTCTGATCTTGCAGTTCTTGGACGAGGAGAAGTTCAAGGAAACTGTTCATAAGTAAGTTTTTTCCTTGTTTTGGATGTTTTTTCCATCTCAATGCTCTGTTTGGATGCTGAGAAAACATGATTAGACGATAGAAATGAAAAATACATGCATGTTAAATGGATACTGTAAAAACAAATGAATCTTCATCAAATTTTTAACCTTTGGCTTAGGTTAAGGTAGGGTTTGGTTTTTCTGGTTGTCAACTTAATAGAAAATTGAATTAATTTTGACTTCATGAAGCCATACACATACTTCTACACTGCTTACCACAACATACCATCTTTTGGTTCTGATTCCTGAGTTCTCAGCTGGCAAAGGGGGAGATAGCGAGCGTGAACTTGAATGGAATGCTAATGTTCTGTTTTTGTTTTTTGTGTTGTCATCAAATGCTGCTTTTTAAGGTTAGAGCAAGAGTCTGGTTTTTTCTTCAATATGAAACATTTTGAAGACCAAGTTCAGGCTGGTGAATGGGATGAGGTTGAGCGTTATTTATGTGGGTTCACAAAGGTCGAAGATAACCGTTACTCTATGAAGATATTCTTTGAAATAAGAAAGCAGAAATATTTGGAGGCTCTTGATAGGTGAGTTTTGAATATTTGTCCCCTTAATTCTGTTGTTTGTGAACTTCATTTTTATCAGAAATATTTATCTGCCACTAGATTGGACTGTAGTCCTATCCTGGTTGATTTGGGAATAGAAAATTGAAGGAGAATGCTGACATCTGTCACTGGGGTGATATTTTAGTGATATGGTTTGTTATGGGGTTATGAACTCTGAAATTTGCTTATATGTTATGCATGTTTTGACTATGTTAATGTTTCCTGCCATCAGACAGGATCGGGCAAAGGCTGTTGAGATTCTTGCTAAGGACCTGAAGGTTTTTGCATCCTTCAATGAAGAACTTTTCAAGGAAATAACTCAGTTGCTTACTCTTGATAATTTCAGGTAGCTTCTCTTCCTTCTTATTTATGTTAGTTGTGATGTTTTACTATTCACTTTTGTTTTGTGCACTCTCAGGCAAAATGAGCAGCTTTCGAAATATGGGGACACAAAATCAGCTCGAAATATCATGCTTGTTGAACTTAAAAAGCTGATTGAAGCAAACCCGCTGTTTCGAGACAAGCTTACATTCCCAGCCTTCAAAAGTTCGCGACTTAGAACATTAATAAACCAGAGGTTATTCTTGCACATTCTTCTATAAGCTTTACATTGAAAAGGCAAATTTTGTTATTTGATTTGTATCCCGTAGATAACTTGCATGCTGGTGCAGCCTTTATAGTTTCCGAGTGGCATGTATAAAATTCTTACTTGTGATCTTAGAGAAGCTCTTCGTCATGAAGTTGTTTTTCAAAGGCTTATTTGCAATTTGAACTTTCAGCCTTAATTGGCAGCATCAACTTTGTAAGAATCCTCGTCCGAACCCCGACATTAAAACTCTATTTACTGATCATTCTTGCACTCCTACAACTGCCAATGGGGCTCGTCCACCTCCTCCCTTGAACAATGCCCTCGTGGGACCGATTCCTAAGGCCGGGGCATTCCCCCTATTGGAGCCCATGGTGTAAGCTCTTTTGCATCTGCTCTTCCCTAAGTAACACTTGTGTGCTTTTCATATAATCCTTGCAATGACTTGTACCATGCCAGCCATTTCAACCTGTTGTTTCCCCAACTCCTGGTGCAATCGCTGGGTGGATGTCGGGGAATAATCCTTCTTTACCACACCCTGCTGTGGCAGCAGGCCCCCCACTCTTGTGCAGCCTTCTAGTGCAGGTGAAGCTGTTAACAATTTTGTAATTCATGGTGCTGTTATCTTTTTCTAGCTTGGTGAAACTATATAATCATTCATGGATTTTGCAGCTGCATTCTTGAAACACCCAAGGACGGCCACAGGAATGACCGGAATGGATTATCAGTCAGCTGATTCAGAACACTTGATGAAGCGGATGCGCATTGGCCAATCTGATGAGGTGTAGACACATATGAAAGTAGTTTTGTTTTCATTTTTTTCCTCCCTCGAGTCCAATTTTCATGCTTGGTGGATGTTAGAGTACTAAATGGCCTTCATCTTGTTGCTGTCATAATTATCTGGTTTCTTATTGCAGGTTTCCTTTTCTGGTATAGCACATACTCCCAATGTCTATTCCCAAGATGACCTTCCCAAAACTGTTGTACGGACCTTTAGCCAGGGATCTAATGTCATGAGCATGGACTTTCATCCACAGCACCAAACCATCTTGCTAGGTTGATATTTGAATATATTTTACAAAGTTTACATGTAGAAAAAAAGGTTTAAGGTTTCGTTTGATAGCATTGGTGTATTCACAGACCTTTCGAATTATATTTTGTAGTTGGGACAAATGTTGGGGACATTAGCCTTTGGGAAGTTGGCTCCCGGGAAAGGTTGGCACATAAACCTTTCAAAGTTTGGGATCTCGCTGCTTCTTCAATGCCACTGCAGGTATTTTGAATTTCGACTGCACTGGAGGCAGTAATAGATCTAATGTTTAATTATCTGTCTTTTGTTTGATGTCAACACCCATAAATTCTCTATTCTTCACGTGTAGCAACATCCTGCACCTTTTGGTACTGCTCTTTGGGGACCTTGTTACTTGGCAAGAGAATTAACCATGCTAAACTATAGTTGGGAATTGAAGTTTTAATTGATTGTTCTTCTTTTTCCCTTTTTTCTGGACTGATCCTTCTTTCTGATGGTTTGATTGTGCTAGCAGACAGCATTGTTGAATGATGCTGCAATATCTGTAAATCGATGTGTATGGGGGCCGGATGGACTTATGCTTGGTATGTATTTAAATTTGACTTTCTGAATATTATTTATTTTATTGTCATCTTTGTATGACATTGCTTGCATCTTTTAAGTAATTATTGCTTTGTATAGGTGTTGCATTTTCAAAACATATAGTGCAAATATATACTTACAATCCAATTGGAGAACTGAGGCAGCATTTGGAGGTAAGCTCAATAGTCCTGGATATTATATCATGATATGGTAGCAACAAGGTACAGTTTAACTGACCGCCAGATTTCATCTTTTAGATTGATGCCCATGTTGGTGGCGTGAATGATATTGCATTTGCTCATCCCAACAAACAACTATGCATTGTTACATGCGGTGATGACAAGATGATTCAGGTATCGATTCTCTGAGGTTAATTTGTTTCCTTTCACTAGGAAGAATGGGCTCTTTATGGTAGTCTCCTGCATGACAGGTTTGGGATGCTGTAGCTGGACGCAGACAGTATTCATTTGAAGGCCATGAAGCTCCCGTGTATTCAGTCTGTCCTCATTACAAAGAAAATATTCAGGTAAACCTCCTTTATGAAGCTGGTTATTGGATTCTCACTAACAATTTAGTGCTTTCATTTTGTATGTTGTTAGCAGAGTGATGCAAAATCATCGGTACAAATTTAACACATATTTGGAGGTTTTTATCATTTGGTCACCATTTATTCCAACTCACATAGTCTATATTTGCAGTTTATTTTTTCAACAGCAATTGATGGGAAGATTAAAGCTTGGCTATATGATGCTTTGGGATCTAGAGTGGACTATGATGCTCCTGGACTTTGGTGCACCATGATGGCATATAGTGCAGATGGGACTAGGTAAAACATGTTATAAAGATGGTTTAGTTTTTGCTTTTGCTTTTGCTTCTTGTTTTTTGTATTACCAGTGTGCTTAATTTTTGTCCTCTCACTTAAGGATGATAATAAATTTAGCACTTGCATTATTCAAGTTATTTCATTCAAATGATTTTTAAACATGATGTTTTTTTTCTTGATTAATATTTTTGTTCTTTTTTTAACAGAAATAGTTTAGTGAAATCAGATGTTTTTCTGTTTAGCCAAACAAGATTTTGAATCATTAGTTGATTATCTAGAAGGATGAAGAAAATTATTATTATTATTATTCTTACTATTTTTTAAAACCATCTTTATTGAATATGGAGTTAACGATATGGAATTATCTATTATAGACTAAAAAATTCCTTGTATCTTGAGAAAGAAACGACTGAAATAAAGCTCTTAGAGGGAACCAAATGTGGAAATTGGGAAGTAACTGTCCATTTTCCTTCTGAAAAATCAGGAATGTCTTCTTTCCTTTTGTTATGAAAACTAATGTTTATGGAAAATAGAGTAATTGTATCATTAATCTTGGACTTGTTTCAGTTGAAAGGTTGAATTAATCAATGTAGTACTATGATAATGATATTTTCGTTTAATCAAATGTTTCAGTATAGTTCGTGCCTATATATATATACAATTATGAACATCCTGTGGCATTTAGCTGTGCATGAAACATGTTTGTTGCTGATGGCAGCCTCCTGCATAGCTAAATTGACCAGTTTAGATGCTGTTGATTAACAAGAGCAATGGCTAAAATATATAACTCTAGAAATCTCCTTTCCCCAAAGACTCCTACCCGAGAAGAGAAAAGAAACTCCATAGAGAACACATCTTGATTTTGGTGTGGGATTCTATGTGCTACATATGGTTAATTTGCATTGCCCCAAGCCAATTTGACATCGCAAAAGATGTGGCATAGCCTTTAAGAATCCTTCGATATATAAATTGTTCTCAAAGATGGGAAGGGAGATCCTGCCTCCCTAGGGTTACATTTACTCTAGCTCTATCAATACACACCATCAAAACATCCCCAAGTAGACTAAGCTATTGCTCTCTCGAGATCACCAAGTCAGTCTCCTATAAGGCACAATTGTTGTAAAAATATTGTCCATAACTGTATTGGGCTCGTATGCATTAATAATACTTGCCTGATAAAATAACAAATACTTTTGTATACCTGATTTTCACTTGTTTCACTTATTTATTTTCACTTGTTTGTGTTCTAAATGAAGATCTATTATGAGATATACTTTTTTTTTTTTTTTTTTTTCCTGTTTTTACCTGTCGATAAATTTGAAGACACTTCAAAGTGTGTCACATTGACTAATATTGGTATTTTTGTAATTATAATAATGGGTATATAGCTTTAAAAACTGGAATTCAAACTTGTATATTAGGCCCTGTTTGACTTGACAAATACTCAAAAGAGTCTAAATTACCCATGCCAGATACTGAGATTCAGATTAAAAAAAATTGACATTTTGGGCGCCTCAAACCAATGGAAAGATTCAAGGACATTTTAGAATGACTATCTATGATCCCTGACATGCACTTGTATCTGTTACTCGTACCAAATCCTAGCAACTTGGATTAATAATATTTCAAAGTTAGCGAAGAAGCTGATTTTTCACTCCTTTTTTTCTTTTTTTTTTTTTTGCATGCACTATTTTGTCTATTGCAATAAATACACCAAATTCTTTTATTTGTGCTAGTGTCAAATCTAACCTAAATTGCATGGTCTTATATATATATATATATATATATATATATTGCATTGCACATGTTATTTCATAACCATTGTGCCTTGGACATATTTTATTCTAAATGACGGATTCTGTAGTTGTTTTTGTATTATATTCCTTGTGTCTGCCATATAGGTCCCTCAAACCCCCCTTGTTCCAGCTCAGGGTTTGACATAAACCCTGCTGTGGCACTATCTTTTCCTTCAAGGCCACTTATATTATCCCTTGCAGCGTGCAGATACATGAATATAAACATTCAAAAGGTATGGATGATGTATTGCAGTTCATTTTTGCAGGCTCTTCTCATGTGGAACAAGTAAAGAAGGTGAGTCTCACCTAGTTGAGTGGAATGAGAGTGAAGGATCTATCAAACGGACATTTCTGGGTTTCAGGAAGCGTTCTTTAGATGTTGTTCAGTTTGACACAACAAGGAGCCGCTTCTTAGCTGCTGGTGATGAATTTCAAATTAAGTTTTGGGATATGGATAATACAAACATGTTGACAGCTGTTGATGCAGATGGGGGGTTGCCTGTTAGTATTAGTCTGCATTCCTTTTCTAATTGTTTTGGTAATAAATGTAAGGTTTTGCAATTTGTCATTGGGTTTCTTCTTTGCAGGCTAGTCCTAGACTGAGATTTAACAAGGAAGGTTCATTGTTGGCAGTCACAACTAGTGACAATGGTATCAAAATTCTAGCCAGTAATAATGGATTGCGCCTGATGAGGATGATGGAGAGCGGGGCTATTGATAAAAGTCGAAGCCCGTCAGAACCGATCAACTCTAAGGTAGTTATATGTTTTGGTTTGATCTATTTAGTTTTATCCTATATATGGTCTGCACATTATGTTGTGTTGAGGTAAGAAATAAGATCGCAATAATAAAAAAAGAAGTTATTTAGAGAATCCTTGACTTGTTCAAATGCAAGTGGAACCTGCTTAAAGACATCAGGTTAAAAAGACTGCCCTTTGTTAAGAAAAAAACATGAATGTTTCTTTAGTGAAAAGAAGTTTGGTCAGCAGTGTGTAATTAGCAAGGGTTGTCATGTGCATGAACTCTCATAGATCTGTTTGGTATGTTTACCAGTGGACCTTAGTTTCCCATAAACAAGAGTATCATGAATTTCCTTTTAAATAGGGCACGGTCCATTTGATTTTGATGAAATGTTGACATCTATTAATTTCAAGTGACATATATTAATATTAAGTTTTCAATATCTCAATGCAACTGACGCCTTTTCTTTGTAGCACCGTTTTCTTCAATTGTTGCAATTTCTTTCCAGAAAAGAATCAAAGCTCAACTGCTAGATGCTGAAATAAAATTGGATTAGCAAACCTAATAGTTCCAATACTAAATTGATTGTTTGACGATGGTTCAGTTCTTCAAAGGTGATGGATCATTTGTACTTTGATATTGTGTTGGAAGAATGGTAGCCTAAAGAAAAAGGACACTTTTCTGAAAATGCTTGTTATGAGTCTGCGTATAGGATCTAGTCACGGGCCGGTGATTGTTTCTGGGGCACTTGTTCCCCTGGGTTTCCCCTTGCGTCTTGCACCTATAATGAATAGAGTGGAGCTCGTTCAAGAAAGAGAGAGCTGCCTTAATCTCAAAAGAAATTACTTCTGACTTGCCTTTATTCCATCACAATCAATCCTTTAAATAGTACAGCCATAGCAATTGTAAATAGAAAGTCTATGCTAATTTAGGAAACACAATATGAATTATTCTAGTCAACGAAATAGGAAGGAAATAATCTTGCTGTCAATTAATCCCAAGATAGCAGCTGAGAATCTTCATTTGTCCTCAATCATCGCAATTTGCTCCCCATTCTTCTGTGATTTGTTCTGCCACTTTTTCCGCCTATATTGTTGTTCCACAAATGAATCTGTAACAATGCTGCACTTAAAAGAAATGAAGATTGCATCAGGGAATTTTTTGTTCCTGATAATTTTTTAAATCAGACTCTGGGGATCAAGAAAGAAAGCCATGATATTAGTTCAATAATGTGTTTACTGGTTGCAGGGCATGAGAATTTCATGCTTAAAGTTCAGTGTTATGATGCGTAACAAAGGAATACCTGTATAAATGTGTGCTTTCTGGTGATCATAGTGTTTTCTAATGATATCCTCCAAAGCTAAGTCCTAAAGTTTTTGTTTTGAAAGAGGATGGTGACTTATTATCATTATTATTTGAGAGATGGCTTTTGGAGTTACAATACTCAGCATGCCCATGTATTGTTATCTATACTTCTATAACATAGCATGGCATAATTCCTTTTTCAGGTGGCACATTTCTTTTGCTAATGAGGTTTCTTATGCCCTTTTCTTGTAGCCACTGATCGTTAATGCTCTAGGCTCTGTAGCAAATGTTTCTTCTGGCCTTGCATCATCACTGGAACGCTCAGATAGAATACAACCTGCAGTTTCTATTGGCAATCTTGTAAGTTTAGCATTTTTTATGCTGTTAGTTCTACCTGGTTTCTAATTTTTTATTGGTTGACCTTACAGGGTTCCATGGACAACAGTAGGCTTGTTGATGTTAAACCAAGGATTTCAGATGATACAGACAAATTGAAAGTCTGGAAGAGTGATATTGTAGATTCATCTCAGCTAAAAGCTTTGCGGTTGCCTGACACCATAGTAGCTGGCAAGGTAGGTAGTTAAACGATATGATTGATCACTTATTGCTTACTGCAAAGTAGTTTTAAAATTGGAAAAGATGTTTATCTATCTATCTATCTATCTATCTATATAGATAGATATAGAGAGAGAGAAAGAGAGAGATGGCATTTTGTTTTTCTTCCCTGTACATCTTCGTCAGTTGCAGCAGATGTTTTTTATTGGGTTCCTAGATTCTATTTGCTATCATTGCAGATTCCTGCCTTATGGTTTAATGTGTGTGGTGGGTATTGCGTTTAATTCATTTTGGAAGCTGATTTTCCCATATTGCTTCCAGAATTAAATGGTTTTTGGATTGCTATTTTGCATGGTATTGCTGCCTCCTGTGTAACTTGAGTGCAGTGGCTGTTGTGCAACTCCATTGCATAAATATTTCCTATTTGAGAGAAATATCACTGGTAATTCGTCTGCAAAGGTGAGAATTGCTGCAAAATCAGGGAAACCATATGAAGGGGGTGGGGGTGGTTCGGGTAGCATATGATTTTCAATCTGAAAAATTTGAAAGAACATTAGTTATTGCACTGTAGAACATACAAAATTTCTACAATAATTGATCAATGAAGAACTGTAGTTGTCTTTCAAAAATAGCTGCTTAGTTTTCATCTCGATTTTAGAAATATTTTTCCATAGTAAACTAAGAAAACATGTTTATTACATTTCATTTTCCAAAATATGAAACAATAGCCTTGTTAAGTTTGGCTTTTGAATAAAGGAGATTAAGATACGGAACACAACTGTTGTTTTCTAAAGAGTGGCATTTGGAAAATAACTTTAGTAGTTTTACTTTTGAAAGTAAACACATTTCTACAGTTTTCTGTTTTCTAGGAACTGTATTAATAGAAATGAAACGTTTCTCACAACACAACCCCCAATCTTTTTCCAGCAGTATGATTTCTAGCTCTATATTATGCACAGTAAATGAACAACTCTATCTGGTGGTGGGAATTCTCCCTCAGCAAACTGCCTAGACCAAGTTTTTCTAGTTTTCCAAAGTGGCTACTGACAACTATACTTTCTTGGAGAGTGTTAACTCTTAAATGCAAATCCTTTTCTATTTTAAAGTGGAAAAAATAAAAAATAATGCAGTTGAAGAATTTTTACAGCTTACTGTCATGCATAAATAACAGCACACAGGAACAATGTGCGTGTATTATGTGCTATTTCTACACTAATACCTCCTGATGTCATTGTAAGCAATCGACTTGCTTGAGGGAAACAAAATACGACTTTGGCAGCAAGTTGGAGGAGAAGAAAATAAGTAGGGGAGAAGAAAAGAACTATAGACTAGAAAAATCTTATTCTCAATTCTCAATTTTATTGCACGAACAGTAAGACAGGTGCCCAAATGTAAGGCCAAAAAGATACTAATAAAACCATAAATCAAACAATGAAATAAAAATAAAATGAATACAAATCCTAATTAAAAGCTACCTAATAGGATGTAGAGTAGAACTGAATCAACAATTAAATAGGAATTAAAAAAAGAAACCTAACATAAACTACAAGTCCCAGATAACAAATTACTGACCCCATAATTGTTCGTTAATTTTTGCATCGGGATGCAAGAACAGTGGTTGACCCCATAATTGTTCATTAATTTTTGCATTGGGATGCAAGAACAGTGGTTCACTAAGGTACCATGTAAAAGAGTGCATTTTGTAACTCAGTTTTGGCAAGATTACAATGCCCTGGCACTAATTAGATTGATGACATTATTGATGCCTTATATGCTATTATGCATTGGGATTTAGAAATTTATTAGAAGTTTGATGAACAAATTAAAGCCTCCACTATGATGAGTTGAAGCTTCAAGTGAACAAGGAGAGAACTGAAGCTCGTTACGATTTTTTTAGGCTTTGCTGAATCTTGTTCTGGGTTGATAAATACAGAGCTTTTGGCAGATTTGTTACTGAACATTGTTTTCTCATTATCTTCAGTACTTCCCTTGGTCATTTATCCAATCAGCTTCCTCAGGGTTGTATTCAAGATGAGACTACCTCTAATCAAAACTGGATCCTTTTTCTTGGGTGCTACGTCAAGTTGCTGAATAAAATTTTCAGCTCTGAGAAAAATGATATTATGAGGATGATGTTTCTGATCATTTGCTGCCTTTTGCTTCTGGCTTCACCATCGTTTTTTTTTTTCTTGGCAACTACGGTAAGGGAGGTTTGAACCAAACATCAATTCTATCTTACCCATCCGTCCTCGCCTGAGTTTAGCTCAAGGGGACCCAACACCTGATATGGATTTGCTATGTTCAAATACATTTAAATAAAAGTTAGATTTGATAATCTGATCAGGTATGGTAGTGTTGATCTCCAAATTACTGGTCACCAACTCTTTTATTTTTTGTAGAGGCTTGCACATTTGCCTGTGTTAATGCACTAGCAATACATTGTTGTGCATGATTATCTAAAGCTGATTAGCCGAACGCAATAGAGCAATGTGGTTAACCAATTTAGAAGGGACAAAACAGAAGAGCAGGGCTTGGTATTTGTGTTCCAAACAATTGGTTACTTCTAGTTAAGCAAATTTGCTATGTTTGGGGAGATGTTCTTTCTAATAAATAACAGCAACATTGAATAAATTTCTTAATCTGTAAGTCCATATATTGTTTTCTCTTTTTTTAGTTAAATGGTAATGGTGATCTATACAATATGCGTTGACCCTCACCCTTGTCAAAATCCCCTTCTAGTTAGCTGAACCTTTGCCCTCTTACTACCAGAGGAGAGGCAGCACTTGTGTAGCAAATGGTGGTAGTATTTTTGGCTCAAACCAATATAGTCAGCTGATAGATAGTAGTCACGGAGAGTGGAGAGTTTTAGATCTCCACTTAAAGTGGTAAATGTTAAGTCAGGTTTGCACATGAGACATTCTCTTCATTGAGGACACAATAAACACAACGCACATGCATAATTGTGCATGCATTGTATTAAGCTTTCCTTATATTTGTAACTAATTTGGACATGCATGCAAGCACACATGGGTAGTATTCTATGTTTTCACAATTCTTCCTAGCAACTTTTGATGGAAGGATAAAGTTTAAAAGCTTTTGTTTGGTTGGAAGTCCTTAAGAAAATTAATACCAATAGCATGTTGCAGATTAGAAGGTCCTCCCAAAGCATTGTCTCTTGAAATGTGGTCTGTGGGTGCCAATAGTGGCGAAACCTCTCATCACTTAGTTTTGCATTGCCTAGTAACTTAGATTGGTGTAGCCTTTTCTGTGTTTATAGAAACTTTATCTGTCCTTATAGTGTGGAGGAGTTTCTTTGATAAGTTTTTGGGTTTTAAGAACTCTAATGGTGGCAAATTTTTATGGCAATGTGCCAAATTTTATGTAATTTGGTGCATCTGGAAAACAAGTGAAATATAAATGTTTGTATTTTCATTTGATATGGGATATGCTGTTTTTCTAGCTTCACTTTGGTGCTCCGCCTTAGATGTTTTAGAGGTGTCTCTTTCGCAGATGTGCAGAATGGAAAGGAACATTGTGCAGTTTCATACTTTTTCTTACTGCTTCATCAGTGGGATATCTGATACTCCTGTTGCACATATCTGTTTCTTCCTATTAATGAAGTTTTTTTTTTTTTTTCTATTGCATGGGTATACATGATGTTATGCTATATATAGCTGTCTCTTGCTGTAATAATTGAGGATAATAGGTCAGTAATTCCAGGTTGTGCGGCTGATATATACTAACTCAGGGCTAGCTCTATTGGCCCTTGCCTCCAATGCCGTCCACAAATTGTGGAAATGGCAGCGCAGTGAAAGAAATCCATCAGGAAAGGTCTGGATCATGTCTTTCAATGGTGCCATCTCTTCTCTTTTAGTTGTTTTTTATTTTTATCTTTATTCTCGGTGTGGAATCTTGTAGGCTACTGCATATGTTGCACCACAGTTGTGGCAGCCTCCCAGTGGAACTCTCATGGCTAATGATATAAATGATATCAAACCAGCTGAAGAATCTGCTGCATGCATTGCGCTATCCAAAAATGATTCTTATGTCATGTCTGCCTCTGGTGGGAAGGTCTCTTTGTTCAACATGATGACATTCAAGGTCTGTTTCTGTAGCACTTAATCGCTTCCTGATTTGAAGCTTATTAGTTCTGTTTGTATTTCTATTTTTTAACTTGTAACATTGGTTTGGTATAAAACTTTTGAACTTTCTTCTTAGGTCATGACAACATTTATGTCCCCACCTCCTGCAGCCACTTTTTTAGCTTTCCATCCTCAAGATAATAACATTATTGCAATTGGCATGGAGGATTCTACAGTTCAAATATATAATGTCAGAGTTGATGAGGTGATCTCTGCGTGCGTGCATCCATGTGTGTGTGGGTGCGCTGTCTTTTAATTTTGCTAATGCTTGCTTGTTCTTTCAGCCTATCTAGTTTCCTTGTGATTTGGAAGTTCTGAGACAAAATTGGACACAATTATTTGACTTTGAAAAGATACCTTAAAAATAAAAGTATCACACGCTACCAAGTGACTACAGATACTGGCTTTTGGATTCCTGGTCTTCGCATTTCTTTGATTTGATTTTATCACCTTATGTTGATAGTAAAACAAACAAAGATCCATAACAAGAGGAGAAGAAATTCTGTTCTGTTCTTGTATTCTGGAAATCAAGAGTGTGACGCATGATAAACTGTTGAAATTATTGCAGTATCTACTCCGTAATGATCTTAAGCTTTTTCACAATCTAGTTATGGGTCCAAACTTGACTTTGGAATTTGTCTGCAGGTCAAAACCAAACTCAAGGGCCACCAGAATCGAATAACAGGACTTGCTTTTTCTCAGAGTTTAAATGTGCTGGTGTCTTCTGGGGCTGACACACAGGTCAGTGACTAGTAGGATCATTTATATAATGTTGCTATCTTTATGGGTTAGGTTATTTAATGTTATCCTGAGGGGGCTGTGAAAACTTATGCTGGAGAGCAGGAAAATCGAATAGTTTGTCCTTTGGTACTCACTCTCCCATTCTGCTTAGTAGGTTAGCATGCTTGATAAGTAACCATGAAAGATCTCAAGCTCGTTGCTCTTTCCAACTTGCTTTAAGTTATACGTTTCCTCCTTGAAGTTCTGCTCTTCAAGTTTTCTAAATTGCGCAAGTATGTTGCTTCTGTAAAAAAACTTCTGATTTTTCCAAAATTTACAAATACAGGGCCTTATATTTAGAATATCAAAAGCTAAAAGACAGATTTTTATGGGCTTATGTGATCGTTTACACCAAAATTCATGTCCATTTACATGAAACATGGTGTGTTGTTTGATGCCTGCCGTGGCTGCTACACTTAAAAGAATTTCAATGTTTGTTCTTTCCATTGGATCACTTAATTCACTGGCAATGTGCTACTTTGTCCTTCTGCAGCATTGGAATTCACTTTCTTTGTGATGTTTTTAGGATGTCCTCTCATTTGATTATATCCCCTACTACCCCTGGCTGTCTGCTTGGTCCTTTATTCCTATCTGCATTTCCATCATTGCAACATTATTCATGTTCGTTTCTGATATTTCAGAATGGTCCTGACATGGACATTGCAACATTTTTTTATGGAAGTTTTCATGGTGATCACATTATTCATTGATCAATATTTCACCAACCCTTGCAGCTGTTAGATAAATAAGAATTTACTGAGTTACTGGTTGTATAGAAGTATAGGAGCTGTTTATGTCAGATGCTCACTCCGAACTGAAATATGGATTCTTACAGTCCTCACATGTTGATTTTAAGCTAGTTTGCAGTTTTCTGTGCAATGGAAGTACTTATTGAAGCTTTTACATGTAAGGTATTATGTATCAATACTGCTCTTGATGAGTTGAGTTGCAGTTATGTATCTGGAGCATCGATGGATGGGAGAAAAAGAAAACGAGGTTCATTCAAGCACCACCTGGTCGTCAATCCCCTTTGGTAGGTGAAACTAGAGTCCAATTTCATAATGATCAAACACACATGCTGGTTGTCCATGAAAGCCAAATTGCCATCTATGACAGCAAACTTGAATGTTCCCGCTCGGTAAGTTTTCCTCCATATATCTTTTATCACTAAAGTACTATTTCTTACAATTAGAAGTTGGATCATTGATCAAATGATAAAAGATGGTCAGATGGGAACGAGCACCACCACTTTAGAAACCTGGTTGCCTTTGATAGGCCATGCATAGCTACCTAAGGAATTTATCAGTACAATATTTTTAAAATCAGGTGTTTTATCATCATTATTATTCATACCAACTTCTGCCATCAATCCTAGTCCCCAGGTTAGGAGATTTTTTCTTGCTGGCCATGTGTCATATGAAGTGTTGGCGGCAATGCCTGTCGGCTGTGATCATATTGCATCAATTTTGATTCACACAGAAGATTGTGTCAACATAGATGTTTGTAAAATTTTCAAATTTACATTAAACTATGTTTTTTTTTTTTTCTCCCCTGAAATATCACTTCTCCCCTCAATCCGCTGGAAAACAAAAAAATGAACTTCATGTTTGAACTCTGTTCCCAAATATTAAACAAATTACTGTATTTATGATTAAAAAAATAAAACACTAGTGAAAATTCGTCACATAATGAAATAGTCAGTACTTTCAGCAATGAACAAAAAGAAATACTGGACAAGGTAGATGAGATGGGAAGGACCAAAGGAGGGAGTACTTATCAATATCTTTTATTGTCAGATTTAGAAAACCTGGATTCTGTTGTGTGTTAATTAATTTTTTATAAGTGGTCAATCTGATTTTGACCGTCCTGCAGCTGAGGCAAGCCTTACTTTTGTTTTATGTCTGCCTCAAGAAATTGACATTCATGTTAAAAATTGCCAACTTTGGGGATATAAGTTAATTAAGATGTTCACTATAGTCATGAATGAGACGCAAACATCAGTTAATATTTAGGTTGCTTAAAAGATTGAAAGTTGATAATTTTGCAATAGCGTATCTATTCTGTAATCAGTACCTTTAAAACGTGATGATCAAATTCATGTAGCATTCATGTCTTGCAGTTCATTTATTGATGTCAATTCTTTTTTGCTTTTTTTTTTTTTTTTTGGTTGCAAATGTATGATCTTGTAGTGGTCTCCTCAAGACACCCTTGCGGCTCCCATTTCAAGTGCAATCTATTCAAGTGATGGTTCCTTGGTTTATACTGGTTTTTGTGATGGTGCTATTGGAGTTTTCGATGCAGACAGCTTAAGAATCAGATGCCGAATAGCACCTTCTGCTTATATGCCTTCACATGTGGCAGGGTAAGCTAAAATTTTTGTTTATGGGAGCTTGGGCATTTCATCTTTTTTGCTAACTATTTTTATTTTTTTAAAGAGGGTGGGGAGCGTATCCATTTTGTTCCAATATTCTAATTGATCAAATCTAAATTAAATAATAATTTAGTACCATAACTTAGTCCCTTAACTGTTCATATTTTTAAAGCATTGTTAAATTTCTAGGAAATAACCAAGCTACATTTCTTTCAATTCTCCCTCTGTTCAACAAATAGTCCTTTTCTTATTTGGATGTCCCTAAATGTATGTCTCATAAAAAAGTCAAAGAATTAAGTACCAAATTTTACTACTTTATGCCTTCTTAAAAATTGAATTCACATATTTTTTTTGTTCAACCCCATTTAATTTTAAAAGACAATGCAGTAAATACAATAAAAGCGTATAAGTTGACAGTATTTGATGCATTTTCTTAACCTATGTGAAAAGTTCAATAGGGCTCTCTGTATGGACGGTGGGAGTAATATACAGTCAAAAGATATTTTGGGAAGAAAAATAACCAAATTGTTGGAAGCTCAACACCTTATTAATGGATACTTAAACGGGAGGGAGGGACTTAAGTTATAAATGGAAATGAAGAGGATAGGGATGTGATGTTGGGGTTTTAACCAGAGAGACTAACTAATTATTTTGCCAAAAATACAGGTTAAATAATAATTCACTCTATCAAAATTTTGTACCAGTTAAAGTTTGCTATTTATGTACTAAAAACCTTTGGTTGCAGCAACATTGCCTATCCTTTTGTTATAGCTGCTCATCCATCTGAGCCCAATCAGATTGCACTTGGCATGAGTGATGGTGCAGTACATGTGGTTGAGCCGTCTGATGTTGAGATGAAGTGGGGGGTGCATCCTCTCAAGATAACGCGACCCTTCCTTCTAATTCATCAAATCCTTCTCAGAGTGGTCAACAGTCAGAGCTTCCTTTGAGGTGATGGACCATAGTTGGGCAGTTGTGACCACCAAGAGGATGAAGCCTATGGAAAACTTGCTTGATTTTAGTAATTCTCACTTTTTTTTTTAACCTTGCGTTAATAGTTTGCATTTAATCAAGGCCTGTTATTCATATTCATTCTCTTTCTTTGACCTTCTATTGGGGCTATTTTGGGGTTTGAGGTTTGAGAGGAAATTGTATATTTTTGTCGTCACTAAAATGCTGCAAGACAAAAGAGGCTATGTGCCCCTGCCATCACCGGCTCTGGATATGTACATGGTTGCCCTTTGATGAATTGCGTTTGGAAGGAAGCAAAATTGATTCTGTTGTAATTGATTCTGTTGCTTTCCTGTGGTGTTAAAAAAGCATAAAAAGGTTTCAGTCAATTGAAAACGCCAATCTGAACAGGGAGGTTATAATAATAAAGAAATAGTGAAGAGAATATTGTATCAGGAAGTAGTACCGAAGAGCAAGTGATTAATCGCAAGATTTTAAGGTTTTGGGCTTTTCTTATTTTGAAGAAAAGTGTTGCTTCGGAAGATATTGTTGCGAGAGAGTAAATACATTAGAGAGAGAGAGAGTGATAGTAACGAGGAACGGTGACGTTGGAAATGATTATAAAGAAGAAAGTAATAGCGAAAGTGATAATATTGTGATAATTTAATGATAGACTTGAAGAGTTATAATAAAATCTAATGGGTTAATGGTCTTATCTCTCTTTGTATAATGTCCTAAGTTTTTAATTTTTTTTTTTTTTGCTTAAAACAATTTGTTATGTTATTGTTATTTTAGTTAGTTTTTAATCTATTTTCTTGGTTGATTTTTTTGCCAAATTATTGAAAATTGAGTACATGCATGACTTATTTTTTTGGCAAAAATACCATTCAATAGAGGTATTTTCTTCAAATGACATATGTGCAAGTTATGTGGATTGATGATTTGGGCAGGGTGTTCATTATTTGGTGAAAATTGAAAAATCAAATTGAAATATCAATTTCGATGTGGTTTTTTTTTTAGAAATTTTTTTTTTAAAAAACTGAATCGATATTTAACTGGTTTTCAGTTTTGGTTTTGGGTTTTTATTTTTTTAAAATCCGATTAACTGAATAATCAAATTATTATTATTATTATTTTTTTTTAAATGCGTGAGTGAAGGTTCTATTTGGAGTTTATACTTTGATTTGAGGCTATAAGGAACTAGAACAAAACCTAGGGTTTTCGATATCTCTAAGACAGTGAAAGTTTTGGGATTTTTGAGGAATTGGGTTCTAGAGGACTTGAGATTATTTAATTTCAAGGGGAATTGAACTAATAGAGGCAGAATGAGGAAGGATTAAAGGAAAAGTGAATCAGAGTTGAAGATTCTCTCATTCGTTTATGGAGAAAGAAATCGCGAAAGGGGAAACAAAGGAGGAAGAGGATAACGATGGAGAAAAGAGAGGGAAGAGAAAAGAAAGAAGAAAGAGAATACAAGGAAATGAAGGGACGAACCATGGCAGCTAAAAAAAGGAGGAAGAAAGGAAAGAGAGAAATCGGGAGAGAGAAAGGAAAATTTAAAAGAGGGGTTTTGATCCAAATTTCTTTTGAAAAATAGGCAGTGATTTGTTTTTGGTTTTAAGTCCCTAAGGTAATGTGGGTTGGGTTTAGCCCAACACATTTGTAGGTTGGCTGAATTGATTTCAGTCTAGCCTAGTCCGAAATTTTTCAAAAAAAATTGGACCGGACTGATTCCAATCCCGCGCCCCCCCCCCCCCCCCCCAATATATATATATATATATATATATATATATATATATAAAACAAATAATTAAAAAAAACTTTGTTTCAATTTTTTTCGATGTAATTAGTAATTAGTACATTCTTCTTCATTTGAATGTAATTAGTAATTATAGGTGAAAATCGAATTACCGAAAAATAATTTGGTTCGGTTTCGGTTATTTTTTAGACAATTCGGTTAATCGAAAACTGATAAAAAAAGTTCAAAACCGAACTGAATTACCGAACGAACATCCCTAAATTTGGCTAGAAAAATTGACTAAAAAAATAGATTAGAAACTAGTTAGAAAAGTTGACTAAAAAATAGATTAGAAACTAGCTAAAACAACAATCTAAATTTAAAATATAGATATTGATGTGATAATCGGTTAAGACAAATGTATTGATAAGATAATGTAACTTTGAACTAGTTAACATACCTTTATTAAGTTGTTGAGAAGTCATAGAAAAGAGGAATAGCATCTCATTTTCAATTGCTCTGCATTTGAACAATTGCTTGTAAAAACGATAGTTTCCTTATTTAAAAGATTTCTTTATTAGAATGCAGTTTCGTACAGGAACGAGATTGGTATTCCATGCTTAAAAGAATTTTTAGAGCCAACTCGTGTTAGTGCTCTTTCAATAAATGGAGGTTTAGCCAAAGCAATTTTTTTATGATTTTCTTCATAAGAATTCCGTTGAAGATAACTCTGTTGAAGGCCGTATTTGAGGAGTTGATGATGGTGTCAATACTATTGTTGAACAATTACTTGGCCAGCCAGTTGGGGAGCCTTTTTTTTTTTTTTTTGTGCTTTTCTTTGCACACTTTTGCAAATGACGAACAGTAGCTTTTCAATTGTCCACGGATGGAGTAATTTTGATAATTAGCATTTGTATACTTAAACTTATAGTCGAGGTATCAGAGAGAACAAGGAGCGATCAGTAATTTTGATAATTCTTTGATCTTAGCTGCCTTGTAGCTAATCATGGATGTAAATTGCTTTTTTCACAATATCTTATAGCAATATTTTACGCTATCTAGCAACAAAGTAGACTTTCTCCATCCTACTCCGGTTAAACTTATTTGTAACATGTAATAACATGGTTAAAGCAACAATAGAGAGAAAATATGAAAGAAGATCCTTTAGGCATCAAAGAATGAAAAGAATGGATGCACGGGGCATATTACGTATATATGGTGCTTTTCCACATGCTTTCAAGTTTTCTTTCAAGATGTGCAAATTTTCAAAACTAAGAAGCATTATGTATATAAGAACTTTAACCCAAGTTTTCAGGAAGGGAGAGATTGTAAATGGAGGCGTGAGGAGTGCATGAGAGGCTGTTAAGAAGTAATCAAATGACTAATTGGTAAGCCAGTCAAGATACATTTGGTGTTGTGACTTATAGATGCATAACCAAACAGAAAAAATACAAGTATTGAGAGACATAAGAAGAGAAGCAGGAAGTACCAACCAAACTCAAGTTGAGTGGCCGATAGGTAGGGAATCAAAATCCAAATGAATGAAACGTTAAGTGTTGTCTAATATGTGTGAGGAAGCTTTAGAGAGAGAGAGAGCTCGGAGGTTTTATTAGAGATCCAAAAGTTCCAAATCTAAAGTTCTAATCCCCTCACAATGATGTGAGGTTTATATTTATAGTGAAGAGGATGGTCCTTGACAACTAGGATCGTGTCACAACATCCAAATTTGGATAGTCGATTTAACTTGAAGAATTTAAGTTCTTTGGGTTAAACTACTTCAACTCCGTTAGTAATGGATAAATAAAATAACAATTAAACCTTCTTTTTGTAGATTCTACTACGATTCCACTAAACCAATCTCCCTAATGCATTCCAAGATAATGTATGAATATTAGTCCCGTTAGAATATCCGTGTCCATCCTTGCAATCCATAACCTTGTGCCGAGCGAAGTCCATCATTAGTCCAATCCATTTATGGTGTACTTTGGACCTATATTAAAATCAAGAAACAAAATAACATGAATTAGCATAAAATAAAAATTATTTAAGTTACTTGATTAATGTTTTATATACAAATTGAGCATATACTTTTATTTCTCTCGCACGAGTAGTCTTGCCAACAAGAGTGTTCGTGTAATCATGTATAGTAGATAGAAAGAAAAAAAAGCTAGAAAACATAACTAGCAATAATTGTGATATACTTGCTGCAAGTTTTTTGAACACTAAGAGAACAAAAGCAACATGCGGTAGACTTGTTGTGAGTCTTTCAACACATAGTAAATAATTGTAGGCTTGCCATTAGCTTTTTTGTTCAACAAGTAATGCAACAATTTGATTTTGTTTATTGTGTTTGAATCACAACAAGACTTGAAAGCAGACTTTTTAGATTGAATTTAGACATTGAAGAGGGCTTTTGATGGTTTTCGATCACCATCTAGTCGTAAAACTTTGAACACCTTTTTGGATTGGTAAGGTTTGCATCAAACGAATGCCCGAATCAAAAGTTGTGGTATGTTGAGTAAGTCATGTGTGTTTACCCTTTTATATATAATCCTTGTGGACTTAAAAAAAAATAAAATAAAATCATTAAGGGTATTATATAAATTTTGCTTACCCTCAATTATCCACATAAAAGAAAACCCTAGATTTAAAAAAAAAAAAATTGCTTCATAAATTTTTGACTTTAGAGAGAAATGAACAACCAAAAGTTCTAACTTAAGATTCCTAAAAATTATGATGGTTTCGACTTCCACCACTCACGAGAGAAAAAAAGGGAAAATTCATACATTATTTTTCCTTTTTTTCCTTTTTTTTTTTTTTTTTTTTTTTTTTTTGCATTAATAGATAATAGTATGTAAACTAGCTATACTCGCTAGTGTTTGTTGTTAAGTAATTATGCGTTGGTTTGCATAGACCAACAACAATAAGTTGGTTTACAAGACTAACGATGATGCATAATTTTTTAGGTTTGCACAAGGAACTTACTAGCTAGAGTCACTACATCTTTCTTTTTGTTTTCTTTCTTCTTTCTTTGGCTAGAGATGCCAACATCTTTTATTTATTTATTATTATTCACATAACCACACCAATAATTTGGCCGTAGAATTTATTTTGATCCTTGATAAACCACTTCAATTTGGACTTGCTAGTCCATTTTGGTCCACATCTAGTCTTTTAATTTAGACTTACTACTCCACTTTGGTCCTTGTGAAGGAAATACGGAGGAAAAAAATAAATAATAAAATTTATTTTCCTCCGATCTAAAATCCAAGTATCACCATTGAATAAAATAATTCTAATAAAAAGTTATTTAGATCATTACCTCTTGAAGTGTAGTCATGAGATTACGAATTGAACCATCCAAGTGTTTGGTCTCTAGTGATAATTCATGTAGCTTTGGACACTAACACGATAGAGGCGAAAGTCAAGAATGCTAGCTCCTCTTTCTTTTAACAATGAAGAAAGTTCCACACTTTTCTCTTGGGGGAATTTGATCAGCCTTATTCTCTCTTAGAAGTGAGTGGCTTGATGCATCTTTTGTTTATAAAACCCTCATTTAGGTTTTGATGAAATTTTTCCAAAAGTTTTCAAAAATAAACATCCACTTAAAATACTCCTTATAGACTTTCAATTATGCTAATTGGTCTAACACCTTGGGCTCAATAACACAGCAATAGTGGACCATATAAATGAGTTGGGTCGAGTATTTTAAAAGGCCAATTTAAGAAACTATTTTCTATATTACCCTTATTGAATTTCAAGAATTTTTTCCCCTAAAACTCTCTCGGTGCTTAAAGAATTGAAATCAATTATTTAAGTTCTCATTTTTCTTTATAATTCTTTGCTTCTCTATATCTAGATCAATGTCAAGCTTATGCATGTAGCTCAATAGGCTTCTAGATATGTTGACAATATATCAAGAAATAAAAGATGATTCTTTTATCTCTCAATACATAAATAAAGATTGACCTCTAGTAATTTATCATACTATCAAATTATCAAAAAGGATTACTTAATTTACAACAACCTTTCACGATAATGGTTTTCATACAATTCAATGCTCATACCAATTATCACAAGTGTGATCTCGAACTTGGTTTGGTATCTATTTGATAATGATCATATAATTTTTCTTCGATCGTCGAATGTCTTAGCTCTCAAGTAAACCAATTATGCTTTATTAATATACTTTCACTATGGCCACGGATTCTTGAATAAATATTCATCGAAGTGCAATGTGATAACTTCTTTAACATATAAGAAATGACATATCCTATCTTAGTTATTCACCTATCTTCTTTAGATTTCTAATGTACCCAATGAATCGCTCATATGTAGCTCTTTACTAAGTCCATTGTAATGAATGTCACAAGTACACCAATCCTTTAAAAAGATAACCATGATAACTTCAAGTCAAAGGACTACTTGTACCCATCTCGTATGAGATTTTCATATATTATATCAAATGGGTTTTCATGGCAAGTCATGTCCAAGTGATATATTCTTTAACATTATTCATACGTGCGCTTGCTTAGGCATTATCATGTTAATAGGTGTGAGATCTTCTACTACTATCCGATAGCAAGACTATAGCACACATAAGTCTTATTGCATATTGTCAATGTCTAATTTCGTAATCCTATAACTTAGGAAATTTAATGATTTCATTTAAGTGCATTAGTTTTTATCTCACATCTATTGATCAATCACCAAAGCAATGAACATCATATGGACTTCTATCTAATTCAATCAAGTTATAAATAACATGAATTAATATAAAGACTTCTTTATTAATACATATACAATGTTCAAACTATCTAAATAGGTTGGATTTAGGATATCTACACTAACATCTTGAGAATCCACACTAATTAGTCCTTGCTACTCCACTTTGGTTTCGACCATCCATTCAAATTTGGACTTACCACTTTACTTTGGTCCATGAACGACCACTCAAATTTAGACTTGTCATTCCACTTTAGTCCTTGACCAACCATATATATAAAAAAATCTTCTAACAAATTAGCTAAATGCATTTACTTGTCAAGTCATGCCGTGGCCATCATGTCTTATGGTAATTGAATTTTCTCAAATTTTTTAGTTAAGTATAAGTGGAGAATTTGGTTGAAAGACAGATTATAGCATCTAAGGCTCAAACATGGAGGCCATGAGTGCTACGACGGTGTCAAACATTAATAGAGCGCTAGACACAATTATGACATGTTCAGCCAACGAAAGGCTAGGTGCGTCGCCGCCATGTCCTTCGCTTGTCGAATACGTGAAGACGACCTTATGACATGTGACTTGTATGGGACATGAAATGTATAACACAAAAATCTTTTCTTTTTAAAGCTCAAAGACATAGAATTAAACCCGTGGTAGCCTTGGTTTAATTTATTAAAAGCCAATGTAAATTTCCATGTCATGATGTAAAAATATTTCATCAATGTAAGAGGTATGTTATAACGTAAAACATGCAATGTAAATTAGCCCCACATAAGTTTTGCAAAAAAAAAAAAAAGCTTCATTTCATAAAACATCAATTGATTCATACATTGTCATGGCTAAAAAGACTATTTACACATGCTCTTACAAACCAAAACTAGGCAATGCACATTATATGGACATTGTCTAGACTACAAGCTTAAAACCTATATCTATATTACTCTTTTTAGCAAACTCAAAATGCATCCAGCAACACCTCTAGAGTGATAGTTTGCTTTAGGCCTCATTACGATCACCTACACCACAAGACACAAATCGTGAGCTAATGCTCAATAATTGTAATCATGCATGGGTTTTTTTAAACATGTTTTTGTGATGAAAAATATTTTATGTCTTTTAGACATGCCTTGTCAAATGTATGATTCGATTTTCTTTTAAAATCTTAACGAAAACATTGTAAAATAGACATAGTCTAGCCAAGTTTCATCTCCATGTATAAACTAGATCATCCCTATAGATGGCCTCTCTATGAACTTGCTGTAAACTAGATATAGTCTAGCCAAGTGCCAACCCTAGGTATACACCGGATCATTTCCATAGGTGGCCTCTCTATGAACATGCACTTGGCTTTTTTGCTTGCTTAAAACATGAGTTCATGAACTTAAATGTCAATTCCATGTCATGAGCTCAAGAAGTTCAATGTCAATTCATCATGAATTCATCCCATAATGCTACGTAAATTTAAGCACCAAGCAATTATCTATCAATTTGGCAAAAATTCACACAAGCTATGAAAATTTAGGCACTAAGAACTTATCCATCAATTTGATAAAATTCATACAAGCTACAAAAATGTAGGCATTCAATATTTTTTTCATCAATTTGGAAAGAATTCACACAAGTTATCCAA